AGTGTTTAATATTGGTAGTTCATTTTGAAATAAATAGCGAAATGTTCGTTAAGAGTTACATTTTTTGCTGGATGAAACAGCTGTAGTGATGAGGTGAACGCCGAGAAAACCCGACTGCTCCTCCGTGACATTAGGATACAGTTCATACAAGGTTATCTATATCAAAGAACTGCAAATAAGCAGATATTATAACAATTTATCACTAAACACACACCTCGTTCTCTCGCTGTCCACCGATGTGGTTTGCTGGTCAAATGAAAAACAAAAGACGGGGAGGAGCCGAATTCTGCCACCGTTTTCTTATCAAATTTAGGAGACTGAAGCAATAATTTAGTGTACAGTTTATGAGATAATCGCAGAAGTTTTAGGGGGGCTGAGTAGAAATAAGATAGGCCTAGCAACGCCCATGCATTAAACTATTAAAAATGTTAATAAGTAATTTTTTTTCAAGCTTAAAAGTTGTTGGAAGAAAGATCAAGCTCCCAAAATACAATTCAAAAGCATAAATAAACCCAAAAAAAATAATAATAAAATGAAGCATAAATCACAAAATACAGAAAACTGCTAGTTGACAGATTTTTGTTTACAGCAAAATACCTCTAAAATATTGATTCAATACTTCATGGCAAAAACTGCTATTTAAAAACCAGTTAAACAGCATTTGGGAAAGATGGATATAATGGACACAATGGATATATTTCATCTTTTGTCACAGATTTGATTCTGTGATAACATAAGGACACTCCATTTTTTTTATTTTTTTTTATTTTTTATTTTTTTGTAGCCAGCTCGTGGCTCAGATGTTCCCCTCTTTTGTGCTTTTTGGATTAATAGAGGATCTTTTGTCTGGGTCGATGCCCCCTATGGCTGCGCTGCCTTTGCCTTCATTTATTTCCCGCTCCCCGGGTGTCAGCCAGCACACCAGCATGGAGACGCTGTACTGATGCCTGGCCGGCTGGTTTCCCCCCTCCCCAAAACAGCCCTGCTGATGGCTAATCCATGATTGGGGGGTGGGCCGGTTTCAGCCCCCCTTGTTGGATTTGGAGAGGTTCAACCAGCTGCCTACCCCACCCCAGCCTCTCCGCCCTCCCCCTCCCCATCTCTCCCGCTGCTGCCAGCAAAACACTGGCATGCTCAGCGTCTCTAATCTGCACTGCCGGGCTTTAGGCAGACAGTCTGGGCTCACTAAATCTCCAGGAATCACTGCACACAACGCTCACCGTTGCCTGTTTGATTTTGAAATAGGTAAGACACGCGGCTTTCAGATCCATGCTGATGTTGTTACATGTGGGAAGTCGGTGGGATGATGATGTCAGTTTTAGTTCCTGCCGTGCTGCTTTCCTGAGAACAATGGATACAGCAGACTTTTTGGAGGATGTGTTTGTGCTTGTGTTGCAGGACAGTATGTGCTGGGCACTTCTGGAAAAGTAAATGCTTGTGATGCTTTTTGAAACGTTGGTCATTATCTGAAACAAAAGGGAAGGCGTGAGGAGTGTTACTGCAATGAACAAAACTAAATCACTTCAGTTTACCAGCTTATTGTACTATATTACATGTTTAAATGACACAAAGGGAACTTTACAAGGAGTCTGTGACGATGGTGGCTGTTTTAATTAATCATCTACTGGAAACGTTTTTTCAATCAAGCATCATTTTTTAATGATTATTTCATCCTAAACTGTTTCCAATAATTGGCACGGCACTAATCTGTTGGTTTGAAGAGAACGCTTCACCAAAAAATGCAAATTCTGTGATTAATTCATTCAGTTCCTTTCTTCTGTTAAACCCAAAAGAAGATATTTAAAAAAAATGTTGGAAACTGCTAGCCTGGAAGTCAATTCCATAGCAAGCTCAATGCAAAACTGTTTGCAACATTCTTCAAAATATCTTCTTTTGTGTTCAACAAAAGCTGATAAACAATAAAATTGTGTTGAATTATCCTTTAATGTTGGTGTTGTCCACTAGTTTGCTCTGGTCTCCATGCGTCTCAGTCTTTCGGTGTAGAATTGCAGTAGAGTGTGTGTGTGTGTGTGTGTGTGTGTGTGTGTGTGTGTGTGTGTGTGTGTGTGTGTGTGTGTGTGTGTGTGTGTGTGTGTGTGTGTGTGTGTGTGTGTGTGTGTGTGTGTGTGTGTGTGTGTGTGTGTGTGTGTGTGTGTGTGTGTGTGTGTGTGTTGTGGCAGTAAAGCCAGACGCTGGTGTCTGTCCACGGCTCTCTCAGAGCTCATTAGAGGATTATTGATGCCAGTGGAGGAGCTGGTCATCCAGAGCAGGAGACACGTTTAAACGCTGCTGTCATGGCTTTAAATGTCTCATGTCACCTTTAGTAATTAGTGGCGTTTGCTAAAGTAAGTATCGTTATTACTTCAGCTCATACTAGGGGTAGGGGATTTGAACAAACCCCTTACTCGGAGTGTAAGTGCAGTGCAACTTATCCTGCCCTGTAAAAGGATATGAAAATATGTGATGCTGAGATGTTTTTAAAAACAGGATGATCATAGCAACAGGGCCCTATCAAATTTGCTTCACTTTTAGGGCTGCGTTTCAACAGTGAAAATAAATGTTCGTATTTAAACTCGGATCACTCGGATAATCAGATTTGAAATCACAAAATGTACTTCATTTAACAACAAATTATTAGGACTTTAATAAAAGCTACATTTTTAGCAACCCTATAAAATCTACTGTATTTTTATCTAGAATTAAAACTTGTGCAGTATTTTTTAATGTATTTATTTGTTTAGGAAGTGCTTTTTACAATGGTTTTTTTGTACAATGGTAACGATTTACTATGTTTTCCACTAATAGTAATATATTTCATTTAAATTCTATTACATTTTTTTTTCCCAAGTCAAACCAAACTTTCATTTTGTTGGGATGTCATGAGGATGCTTGGGTTTCTGTGTGTGCAAGATTGTTTTTATCCACATGAACATCTTGTCATCTCACTTAATGAGAAGAGATGTAACAACTCCAGCATTCGTTAACCAGGAGATGCACAAAAAACTCTTAAGAAGCCTCATAGCAACACAATAGCCAGGCTTCCATCTAAACATAATGCAAATTCTCTCAACGTTTGCAATAAATATCCCAAATGCAAATTAGGTGTGTTTCCATCAAGTTGTTAGAGAGGCTGACTGTAGTATTGGTAACCTACTGTAATAACAGGGGTGGATTTAACCAATAAGGGAGGTAAGCGGCTGCTTAGGGCCTCAGGAAATATGGGGGGCCACAATAAATATCTATATATATAAAACACTGTTTTTTACCATATTTTGTATATTGAGAGTTAAACGCATACAATTTTAATATAATTAAATATTATTTAGTATACACAAATATAATGTTATGCAATAATAATAATAATAATAATAATAATAATAATAATAATATTACAAGGTAAAATCATGGAACAGTCCAGCAGTCAAATTTATTAACAATATATTTAATATTTTTAGTTGTAAATTAATAATAATAAAAAAACTAATCATTTAAAATGTAGAGATTGCATTAATTTAAATTGTCGAAAAAAAGATAGAGTGATATATATTAAAAACAGCAAATAAAAAATAAAAGTAGAAACAATGCATTTCAGGACTTGGGCCCCATGGCTGGAATTGCTTAGGGCCCCAAAATCACTAAACGCGCCCCTGCCTAGTAACCAACAGTAAATAAGGCGAGCTGATTGGTTATGTTGGTATATAATGTTCGCTACATCAGAGTTTTTTCAGCAAATGCATTTCCATATACCCACACAAGTCAAAAATCATCAAGATACCATGAAAAAAAGTATATATTTTTAAAAATTTGGCATTTCCATCACCTGTTTCTCATGTAATACTTGAAATTGCACAATAATAAAGGGTGATGAAAGCCTATAGCGATAGTCAAACACTGTCCAACTTAAGCAACTCCCAATAGCAGTAACCCTGGCAAACCACATTAGCAACATACTAAACACTACTTAGAAAACTTAACTTAAGCAACTGCACAGCAACACAGTGGGAAAAATCGAATGCCTTAGCAGCTACTTGGAACACCTCAAAACCATGTAGCATTGTGTTTGGGGATTTGCACACACAATATTGCTAATAACATTTGATATTTAATTATAAACCGGGGTATCTGCGGGGTCTTAAAGTGTCTTAAATATCAAAAGCTTTAAATTTAGGCCTTGAATGGTCTTTAATCTACTGAAATATTGTGTTGCAGGACTTAAATCCCTTTTAAGAGGTCTTAATTTTCCTCTGTATAAGTGTTAATGGCCAGATTGGGCAGCTATACATGAACAATCACCAACAATCCTAATCTCAATCTCCTTTTTTTATTGAAAAATATCAATAAAATATTGTGTTGCAGGTCTTAAATCCCTTTTAAGAGGTCTTAATTTTCCACTGTTCATGTATAGTTGCCCAATCTGGCCATTAACACTCATACAACCACCAACAATCCTAATCTCCTAATCTCAACCATGATGTTTTAATTACTTTTCTTACAGTAACATTTGTTTAAACGTTCTTCGTTTATTTACTGCTGAGGATACTGACCTGATCTATATTTTTTATTATTAAATTCGTATTATTGTATAAATAAATGTAAATCATAAATTTTTTTTTATAAAGTGAAAGGATTTTCTAACTGGGATATTCAAAACAAATCCTTAGCATTTAGCCCTGTATAAGTCTAAAATTTCATTCATAATGATCTTAAAGAGTCCTAAATTTTACTTGGTGAAACCTGCAGAAACCCTGATAAACATTTAAGTGTGTGTGTACATAGTTTGTCTGTTTGCTATGAATAACTGATTTAAATATGTAAAAACTTCATGGACAGAACAGCAAGAGTATAGAATCAAATCTTCTTTGGTTCTGATGTTATGCTGAACATGATATGAAACATGGCATGTTTGTCATCGAATCATCTGAAAAGCATCACATTGAGCATTGACTTTATGGACTTTTAAGGTGTTTGCTTTTCATTAACACACATCTCTTTTTCTTTAGGTGTCCAGAGAGCCTGGGACAACAGGAGACAGTGGATCTGACAATATGGAGCCAGGAACTAAAGGTAGAAAATCAAACGCAACACTAAACACGCCTAATAGTTTAAATGTATATGTTTTCAGTTGTGTAATCTCTTTCCAACACCTCTTCAACTTCCTGCATCCTTTCCACAACACTACAAATCAGCTTACTGGACAAAATGCTGATGGCAGATCTGTGGAAATCTGTTTCCCTTTTCCTATTTGACCTTGTGGCTCTTATTTTCTGTGGCGTGTGTACTTTTATTTTTTATCCTAGACCACACTGATTGATTGACTCTCCTTCCGTTATTCGCAGAAAGTCTGGAGTGTGGGGTAAAAATGCTGGATTCAACCCCTCTCAGGGACAGGATGGCCATGTACCAGGCAGCTGTGACTAAGCTTGATTTCCCATCCTCCCCCAATGTAAGTGATACCGCACCACTTCCACTATACAAACCCTCCCACGTTTACTGTCACGCCTTTATGATTTCATCAGATGCACTATATCTGCTTACTTGACACTACTAGAGGATTGTTTCGATATGAAGCTGTTAAAAGAATTAAGTTTTTTATGACATTGGTGCCAATATGATCCCTTTACGAAAAAATAGGCCCAACACAAAAAACAATGTTCAATGTAGAAAATGCTAAGAAATTAAGTTAACTTTTGTTTTTACAAATTTAAGTGGATTGAACATAAAACAATTAAGTTGTCCCAAAAAACTCACAGCAAACATCATTTTGAGTGTTGAGTAGCATTCAAATTTGCAGGGGTGTAGATTTAGTATGGACGTATCCCCACCAATATCTGCCAACTATTAAAATGTCCTCACCAATAATTTATTTCACTTTAAAAAACTTACAAAAAAAAATTGCCCTGTCTATATCAACCTCGACATGCAGAAATGGTTAAATCACACTCTCTGCTCGAGTCGCACTGCCCCCCAAACACATATGGACATTGTGATTGGCTGTGCTTTTTCCTGCTGTCATGTGAGAGGCTGTAGCTGCTTTGAGATGCAAGCAGCGAGTGCCAAAACTGTGCAGGTGAATTTCCCGTGCAAGAATAAGGTCTGTGAGGTGTGTGACACACAAGTGAGCATGGAAACAGCAAAAAATAAATAAATAAAGGTGGACATAAGGAGCTTTTTCAACAAAAAATGTAAGTCGCATAAAGCTCAAGTTTGCTACTGAAGGAGTTGATTATGATAGTGCCGTTAATGTTCGTGTTTTTCCCCGCTTTAACGCACAGTCTATCGTTAAAGCAGATGGATATAGTCTGTGAATAACATGCCCTGAAAACTAACAGCAGAATAAACAGCTACATGTAAAAGTATAGATCCCTGCCAGTTCTCTAATCTCTGAGTAGCATGTCCAATTTCGGTAGAAACAATTTGTCAGAGAAAATACAGCCTGTGCTCCATCGTTTATCAATACTGATATATGACACTTGTTTCATTTGCACTAATAGATGGAAGTCTTTATTAAAGTCTCTCTTTATCAGTTAATAAACATTATTTTAACATTACAGTTTAAATGCACATGGGACTGATAGTGTAAGTTTTACAGTTTTATAAATAATGAACATTTAGAATGAAGAAATATGAAATGCATATTTTTTTCAAAATACAAATGTATTATCTTTTATGATTGCTTTTTTTTTTTTTTTTTTTTTTTTTAAGAAATCTGTTAAAACTTAATTTAAATTAAACACTGAAGCCTACAGGCAAATAACAGACTGGCCAGAACATTCAACTTTCCTCATTCAGAATTTGTCCATTTGAATAAAAAGAAATATTTAAACATAATAATTATCCAACTTTTGGTCTTTCAAACCACCCAACCCCCCTCTTGGCTACAGGCCTGACAATTTAATTTAATAGATTTTATGGAAAAAGGATTAATTAATAATATATTTTAATGGCAGTTAAATAATGAATAGCAATTATATGTGTGTGTGTGTGTGTGTGTGTGTACGTGTGTGTTCACTCTTGAAAATGTGATGATAAATATACAAAGCCATACTTAAAGTATAAATAAAATAAAAATTACAAATCACTACAAATTCACATAACAAATTTTAAATTGTTACATAAAAAAAGTTGACATTTCTTTATGGAGTTTGCATGTTCTCCCAGTGGGTTTCCTCCAGGTGCTCCGCATTATAGGTGAATTGAAAAAACTAAATTGGCTGCAGTTTGTGTTTGTTTGTGTGTGTGTGTGTGTGTGTGTGTGTGTGTGTGTGTGTGTGTGTGTGTGTGTGTGTGTGTGAGAGAGAGAGAGAGAGAGTGTGAGTGTGTGTGGGTGTTTCCCAGTACTAGGTTGTGGCTGCTGCATAAAACATATGCCAGAATAGATGCCGGTTCATTCCGCTGTGGCAACCCCTGATGAACAAGCAATTAAGCCAAAGGAAAATGAATGAATGAATGACTGAATTCACAATAAAACCCAAGCTGGCTAAACGAACAGCAATTAGATGATATCTATTAAAAAAAACTACAAACTAGCTTCAGATTTAAGCAATTCTTTTGCATCAATATAACCATATGTGCCACCTTTGCTAAAAATGCCCTGACCAAACACGAGATTAATTAAAACGACAGTGCACAATACCCTTCACTAAATATTACATTTTAACACAACAGTAAAAGGCCTGATGCACTGTAAAAATGCTGGCTTCCACACCATTTCTTCATGTTGTCCATACACAAATCGATTAAGCTAACTTACTTGTTTTTTACAAATTGAAAGAGTTGTTGATTCAGCTCATTTTAAATAAGCAATTTGAACAAGCAGTAAACATACATTTGTTGAGTGTCTATAAATACAAGCTACAGTCATATAATGGATTGCTGATTTAAAAGGTCACCTTGATTTCTTCATATCAATTAGTTTGACATCTCAGGCATTTAATTATTTTTTTATTTGTAGATCCTCATAGAATTATGTACATTTCCTGTTTTGCATTAACGTCTATAATCCATAGCTTTTTTTCAAGTTTTGTTTTAATCAAGTTTTAATTTTGCAAGTCTGATAGTTCTTATCATGATTACATGGGGATAAAAGCAACAAGCACTGCACTACAAAGATTTTATGCTTTAGAATTGGGGTTAGGAATGACTTCAGGATGGACAATTTCTGAGTGTTCCTGTTCCTTTAAGGGGGCGCACACTCACTGATCACCTTTTCTCCTTTTTGTGTTCCTGCCTCTGATAGAGTGAAGCAGCAGACAGTGAAGCCCGAGCTCACAGTGGAAAACAAAAGGAAAATGTGCCACCAGTGTCTGCTGATGTGGTAAGAACCGTCAGTGCTCACGACAACATGATATCATGACCCTATCTGTTTTCAATGACGTGATTTTTACTAAGGCTGCACGATATTCTTAAAACATACATTGCGACATTGAAATTTTACACGATTTTTATATTGCAATTATTCATAAGATTAGGTCAATAGCACGATTGGCAAAGAATATTTAATTAATAAAGGAGTGCAACACAGGAATAAAATAATCAAATGTATAATAAAGCTGTATAGTGTTCATTGTATAAATAAATACAATTAGTCATTGTCTACAAAGTCTAAATGCTTTAAACTCATTTTAAAAGTTTACACAGGCCTAAAACACACAAGCAATGAATTGATTTGAACTTTATTGTGGTTAAACTGAAATGACTCGTGTGTTTGGAACTGTTATACCTAGTCAACTATAATCCAGACTCCACATTACATGATATAATGTCATGTGTCGATGTCGATGCTAAAATGATATATTGTGCAGCCCTAATTTTTACACAGATGTATTTATTGAAACCTATTCGTGACGAATGGAAGAGTATTTTGATGATAAAACATTTTAATAGAATATACATCTATATTTTTAATGATATTAGAGAACATTTTACTACAGGAAATATTTGAAGGGAATTGTTTAAAAACGTGTCTTCTAAGGGGTTTTAGACTATCAAATTGAAACAACTTGTATGACTTATTATGAAAGTAGTTTTTATTACACTGTAAAACCCAAAACGTTAAGATAACTCAAACCATTTGAGGAAACCAATTGCAACAAACCATTTAAGTTCAAAAACGAATCCTAATGAGTACTCTGAACTTAATTCATTTGAGGAAACAAAGCAATTTGAGCAAAGTAAAACCCAATAAATAAAGAACTCAAACCAACTAAGTACTGTAAAACCCAATAAGTTAAGGCAACTCAAACCATTTGAGAAAACCGCTTGCAACATACACTGTAAAAAGTGATTAGTTACTTAAAGCGAGTAAACCAATTGCTTTAAAAGCAACAAGTTGACTTTACAAAAATAATGCAAGTATGTAAACCCATTATAACTTTGAACTGTTAAGTTGACTTGATTTTTATAATTATGCTTATTGTACTCGCTTTAAAAAAGAAGTAAATTAATCACCTTTTCCAATATACCTTTATTATATTAGTTTTCCCCCTGGTTTTCTGCATATCAAAATGACATACAGTAAAATAAATCTGATCTTTCTAGTTTGTCTTCTAAATTTCATACAGGCTATTGTAAATTTCATTGAAATCATGAAGCACCAGTATGTAATTATTTTAACAATTACAGTAATTTGAAAACAGATGGGCTAAAATAGTCTGACACTGTAAACAGGGATTAGATGATTTTTTTTTAAAGAAAGTGAGTAAAATTAGCATAATTATAAAAATCAAGTCAACATAATAGTTCCAAGTTACAATGGGTTTTCTTAGATTATTTTTGTAAAATTAACTTGTTCCTTTTAAGGCAATTGGCTTACTCGCTTTAAGTAACTAATTACTTTTCACATTGTACTGTTTGAGTTAAAAACTAATCTATATGAGTACTGTGAACTTACTCCAATTAAGCTGAAGTAATAAGGTATTTAATGAACTCATTACCTTCAACACTGAGTTCAAAACTCTTTTCAAATGAGTAGAATTAACTTTGTCAATTTTGAGTTAACTACACTCATTTCATTCGAGAAAACAAAAATAAACAAATAAATACCTAAATAAAGACATGATTTTTGGTCCTATTGAGTCCATAAACCATTTCTGTCTACATCCTTTTTCATTAAACAACTCTTTTACTTTCAACCTTACTCTAATTTTTTTTCACCCACTATCATGAAGCAATCAATTCCCAAGAATAAAATGCAATTCTTATTTTCATTTTTGGTGAATGTCCAGTATCAAATTATAAAATCAAAAATCTTGCAAATGTGGATTCATGTTAACACAGAAACCCATCGCATAGATTTCTTTAAGTAGTCAAGTTTCACTGTTCTCTTTATATCTGCAGTGCCCCGAATCCAACACTATCAAAAGTCCTGCTCCAGACAGGAATGGTGAGTTTCTGCTTTTTTTTTTCATTCGTTTATAACATGTTTTAACTCATTTTAATCAGCTCTTATCTGTTTTTAATCACTGTTATTATTTGTTTTTATTATCTTAAACACTTGTCTTTTTTATTCTTGTTTATGTAAAGCACTTTGAATTGCCACTGTGTATGAAATAGTCTATATAAATAAACTTGCTTTGCCTTTTTACAATTCAAGACTTGTTATTATTAAGCCTTTTACTAGCATTGTAACTGCCCGGTATAGTTTGTGCATAGATTATCATCGAAACAAACAAAAAAACAACAACTCAAAACTAGATTGGTGTCAGGAACATAATATAACAAAAACAATTGGTAAAATCCTAAAGTGCAAGTTAAGCTAGGATCCAGTTATATTTTAAGCACTGTAAAATACAGTGAGAACTGGTTTAGCTTCATTTTATGACTGAACTGTTGGTTATTTTGTATGGCAGCGCCCTCTAGAGGTTATTTTACCAAAAATCTGTTTTCCATTTACAGGTTCTGTTTTAAGTCCTGAGCAAAACCAGCCTAAATTGGTTAAGGTGAGTATTATTTTTAACATGTGTATTTTAAATTAGGGTTTCCACTTTAAGCCAAATACCTGAAGTTCTCTGGCTTTTCCCCTGACTTTCAGTGACCAAAAAGCAAAATTTCCATCACAACTAATTTACAGAAAAGAAAGGCCTTTTTAATGCTTTCATGTTAAAATTGTTTGAGCTTGAACATAATTTTTCATAACTTTAATAAGCCAATATGAGAACAATAATGGGTCATTTACTTCATATATTGAAAATAAATATTTGAAGTGATCATATTGAAGACAAAGCTCTTAAAATGTATATTATCCTGGCATGTTTTCCCTTTATTAACTGGAATAGCCTGGTGACTGCATCTAACTTAAGTGATTGCCAGTTTATGCACATGAAATAAATAAAATGGAGCATAAAAATCACTTTATATATATAAACACACACACACACACACAGACACACAGACACACAGACAGACAGACAGACAGACAGACAGACAGACAGACAGACAGACAGACAGACAGATAGATAGATAGATAGATAGATAGATAGATAGATAGATGAAAAACAATAAATCCCTGATATTCCATTACTTTCAATAACTGAAATAGACCTTATTAAAATTTCATAATATTCCAGAAATCTTATATTATATAAATCTGATATAAATCTTAGTCTTATATTTTTTATAAAGAGTGCAAAGTTTATAGTAAAGTTTAAAGTATATGAAGTTTAGATGCAAAAACTTAAAAGCAATTTGATATTTTCTTCTAAAATTAGTATTTTTTAGACTCTTCAGTGATGTTACTTCTTTATTGACGAATAAGTTCTTTTCATTGTCTTAGTTCCAAGTGAAATAACTATTATTATGTGTTGTCGTTGTTTTTCTTTTACTTGTAGATGTTCCCTTTGCCTGTCCGTGAAACCTGCGTGACGTGCCTTAAGACTGTGTACCCACTAGAGAAACTTGTAGCGAATCAGCAGATTTACCACAACACCTGTTTCCGCTGTGCCTACTGCAACACTAAACTCAGGTGAGGGCAAGAGATTAAACAATGGCCACCAACCAGCTGGACCGGCAGAAGTAGACAAGACTAATGAGGGCGTCCCATTTGTTGGTTTATAAATAACCTCAAAAGTTTGAATAATTTTTTCATTTGTAAGTCGCTTTGGATAAAAGCGTCTGCTAAATGACAATGTAAATGTAAATGTAAATGTCTCTTCCCCTGTCCTGTTGCATTAATTCATATTAGTTTTACATTCTTTTTTATATGTATTTCAATTTCTAATCTTTTCTAATCCGTTTCTAATCTTACTAGGTCATGAAAAAACATGAAAGGGAGAAAAGCACTTTTTAAATCCTTTAGAATTTAATTAAATAATAAATTTAAATAATTTGCCACTTTTGCTAAAATAAATTTTGTTAGTTGTCTAATTTTACTGGTAAAGTATTTTTGTTTATCAATATACTTCCAACATAAAAACACAATCTTCTGAAATGACACTATAATACTTTAAATATTACACACACATTATGTAACCCTTGATTGTCCTTTAAGGACATGCCACAAAGGTGCATTATTATATTATTAAAGCCTCAATATTTCATTATAATTTATGTTCATTATAACCAAAATAGTTTCACGGCAATGGTCTTCGTCAAAAATGTCCATTAAAACGGTAATATTTAATTTCAAAGTAATTTAATGTAAAAACAATATACATTCTTTGTCATTGAGATTTTGTTTTGTTTAGCAAAGTAAGGTAACTTAACGTTGTGTTCATTCGCTGTTTTAGTTTAACAATAGGCTATTAAATTATTTTGTGGTGGAGGGAGGAAAGTCAAGTATGGTTTAAACTTTAAAGCACAGACATGAAAAAAGGATGTTGTAAAGTTAACTGCCTAAACATTTTAGGACTCAAAACCGCACTTTTTGTCGTGAACTTAGTGATAGCAACTTGTGTAGACCTAGCACGAATCTAAGTTACTTGTATTTACGGACTTGTTGTGTTTATGTGATGACTTACGGATACAGAGTTCAGAGCTGTTTATCACCAGAAGTTTTAATATCCAGGGGTGGTCTGCTGAAGCTGCTCCTGGTAGTTTTTAAATGCGGAATTACTCCGCTAGCAAAGTGCTTCACTTTACCGTTACTGTACTTCCGCCGATTTTGAACATTTTCGCGCGCCTCAATGGTGGCGCGTCAAATGTATCATAATAACATGACCAGCATTAAAATAATCGATATATTTACTTCATTCACGGTTTGACTTTGGTTACAGACGATGTTTACCAGTATTTTAACTGCTGGCGCGAGAATCAAACACAGACTGTAGCAGCTTCAGTTTTAAACTCACTGTGTGAACTTCGCCAGTTAAAACATTTGCAGAAGTTCTAATGGTTTGCTCTACAACTACTACAAACAGCACTACAACCTTAGTTTGTAAATGTAACATTCCGGCGATTCTCATTTTATATTATATTATTTTTCACTATAGATCAGGGCTGCCCAAACTTTTTCTTATGAAGGGGCAAAAACTAAACTTGATTGAGGGTGGTGGGCCAGAGATAATGTACAATGTGTCAATGCAATTTCCTAATTTATTAATATAATTCATTATATAATTTATTTAATACTATAGTTACATTTTAAATACTTTAATTGTGTTAATAATTATACATTTTTGCACATTTTATAATGAACATATTGCAATAAAAACATGAACAGTCCCGTTTATAACACTAAAAAATAGACTTTGATTCGCTTGCTGCCTTCAGTAATGTCTACAATCCATCAAGTCACTATTTATTCATTTATTTTTCAAATCTGATTTTCATTCACAAGGTTTAATTGAAACTTTTAATGTCAGTTTGCTTTCTTGTTGCTCCAAAACAAATGTTAAATTAGAAATCACAATCTCTCCTAAAATCATTCCCACAAAAATTCCCCATCGTTCTCCTCTTCTCAGATGGTATGGAGGGCCAAATCATAGGTTACCGTAGGCCAACTTTGAAGTTTAGGCATCCCTTGATATAGCTGAATGAATGACAAATGCTAGTGCATACCTTGCAGTATTTTCCTTTCTTGTCATAACTGAGTCAACGGATACAGTTTATACAGCTTATGTTTTTAGCTAGAACCACCTTGCTTCCCTAAAAGTAACAAAAAGTTTTTTTTTATTCGTCCTTGGATGATTGCACAAATTATAGATCTTTTAGATGTAATTTGAGACCTAAATACAACCCAGAAGTGAAAAGCTAAAGGAGGCTATCAACACGTTTTAATGGCTTCTTGACTACAATACAGTGTTTATTCATAAAGATTTTCAGCATACGTTTGAGTAGGCCTGAGAGCAATTATAAACCAGTCTGCATAATCTAGTGGTTGGACCAGTTTAACTGTATGAAGTGATGATTTTTAATGTCTGAAAGCTTTTAGTCCCAAAAATATAGGTTAATCCTTAATTCAAAAAGGTATTACATATGTTTTTTAGACAAATTTTTGTTGTAACCACAGATACAAACATTCAAAAAGCCCAATGGGGATGATGAAAAGTGCTAAGTTTTGGAGCTGCACACAAAAACACAGCTTACCTGCATCACATGGTTAAAATACCATTTCAAAATGTTGTTCGTCTTCTCTGCATTATGTTTGACAAAATAATAATAGTTTGGTCAGTACAATGGGTGCCATTCACGACAAGTCCAGGGTGCATGAATACTTCAAAATGCTTATCTTGCTTTGTTTCTTATCTCTCTTTTTATATTTTGCCTCCCTCTTTTGGACAGTTTGGTGAACTACGCCTCTTTGCACAACAACGTCTACTGCAAGCCACACTACTGCCAGCTGTTTAAAGCCAAGGGCAACTACGATGAGGGTTTCGGCCACCGACCCCATAAGGAGCTTTGGGAAGGACGCCCCGAAGGAGTTGACGACCAAGTAAAGCTTTCACCTCAAGAAACGAGCCTAACAGTAGAGGAGTCTCCATTGGTCAAGGTCAACGTGCTTGCGGCCACTTTAGAGACCCGGACCCAGGCCACGTCAGAAAGGGTGGAGAAGCCATTGGAAACGGGACGACTCAAGATCTCCTGGCCTCCTCAGTCTGAAGGGGATGAGAGTGCAACCCACACAGTAACTGATGGCAGTGGAATCAAACCCATTCGCCCTAAATGGCCTCCAGAGGGCGACACTGTATCAAGCAATGTGGACCTGGAATCTGATCTTCCAAAGCTTCGCAGGAGCGTCTCCCTTAAGGAGAGAAGCAAACCGTTTTGCATCTTCGACTCCGCACCCGTGGCTCAACCCAAGAGATGCCAAAGATCTCCGTCAAATGAGAAACCAGACTCCGAGGAGGAAATGTCACCCGTGTCTTCCACCACAGACACCACCATTTCTTCTGAGGACATGACTGAACACAATCAGTCGGAGGAGGAGGACCAGGATAAGACCAAGGAGGATGAACAGATGGAGCATGAGGAGAAAGTTGATGTGCAGGAGGAGGAACTGTCTTCTCTGAAATGCAGCACGCCGGATAACAGCCCTCCATTGTCACCTGAGAGCGAGTCTGGATTGGATCCCGAAGAGAACCAGGCTTCGCAAGATGTTGGATTTTGGGATGGAGAAGAAGCGGAGGAAGACACCGCTGATGTCACTGTGGAGGACTTGATTAAGAGGAACCGTCATTATGATGATGAGGATGATGAAGATGTGGTCTGAGTCATAGATTAGATGGACTTTAATTTTCTCAGAAGCACCAGCATACTTTCATGTAGTCTCTTCATTGTGGGTCTGTCATTTTCGTGCAATTCTTCATGTTTTCGGCTTTTACATGTGCCTATAAATGTTACTGAACTGAAAAAAAAACAAGTAGTTTTCAGGTTATTGGGAAGGTTTCTCTAGTCTAGATGGTATGCTAGAGCTCTCGATTTCTTCATGTCTAGTTTTATGAAATTGTATTTCCTTTGGTACTATTTGTTTTCTATATTTTCTATATTAATAGACCAGGATATTTTATTCTGCTGCTGTTCGTTTTCTGAACACTTGCATTTCGAAATGATTAAAAAAGAAAATATGATGGGGCCAATTTTAATGTTAAGTTCAAACACCCATGTTTTGTTCGATTGACACTATTATAATGCACTTCAATGTACTTTAAATGTTAAAACACTCTCCTCGCTGTACCACATTGAATTGGCAACCTATGAATGTTTTAGAATTTTCCAATTGTATTATTTAACTGCATTTTAAATGTCTTTTTTATTATGGGACCAAATACCTTGGGAAAACTTTTGTTTCAAATAAATTTACTTCTACAAAATCTTGAGCAAGAGAGCTTTGTTTTACTAGCGTGATCCTACAACTAACCGTTTTCTAGATAAGCAAGCATATTTTAACCGCTGGATATCATAGTGTAAACCACTTTATTTTAAAGAGAAGTGTAAAATTATGAGATTAATATGTGATCACAGTTGTGGTTGAATTTACTATTAAAATAAGTCCCTCCAGGATTTAGCATGGACTGTCTATCCATCTATCTATCCGTCTATCCATCCATCCATCCATCAATCTATATCTGTCTCTCTGTCTGTGTCTATCTGTCCGTCCATCCATCCATCCACCCACCCACCCACCTACCTACCTACCTACCTACCTGTCTATCTGTATCCATCCACCATCCAACTATCGATCTATCCATCGAATGAAAATGACTGACTTTGTGACTATTTTTATAAAGTTGTATTGTATTTAATTCTTGTTATTGCTGTGTAAATGCACAAAAACTAAAAAAAAAATGTAAGTCTTAGATGGATTCACAAAAACCTTGAGGGACTTTAAAATTAATCAGTCAAAGTTGCAAAACAACATAAGCATGTCAGACAAATATGATCAAAACAATGCTATTTTTTCTGTCCCGGTAAAGCACAGGTGTCAAACTCAGTTCCAAAAGGGCCGCAGCTCTGCACAGTTTAGTTCCAACCCTAATTAAACACACCTGATTAAACTAATTGAGTCCTTCAGGCTTGTTTGAAACCTACAGGTGAGTGTGTTGGAGCAGGGTTGGAACTAAACTGTGCAGAGCTTCGGCCCTCCAGGAAGTGAGTTTGACACCCCTGGGGTAAAGGTTTAGTTCATTCTAATTCTCACTAGTGGCGTATTACCTGCCTATTATTAAGATATTGGTTGTTTATTTGTACTTCTACATATTCGGCATGATGTTATTCTACAACTCTAATCTCAAAACCTACACTGTATAAAATGCAGGGTTCCACAATTCATTCATGTTGTCCCGGGACAAATTAACTAAACATATTTAAGAGAAATGAACATAAAACATTACGTTTTCCCAATAAAATCTCAAGAATTGTGTTGTTTCAGATCAATTTAAATAAGTAGCTTGAACAAGTAGCAAAAATAATTTGAGTGCATTAACTTCTCTTAATCATTAATAAACTGCAAATTAGGAGTCTGAGGCACAGTTAGTAAATTACTATATATATTTATACAACATACAAGATCAGGGTTTCTGCACGTTTCAAGTCAAATTTAAAACTTTTAAAGACCCTTTAAGACCCTTATGAATGAAATTGTAGACTCATACAGGGCTACTTCTGTAAATAGTTTTTGTATTAATGGAAGATCATGTAAAGGGATGTGTTGCTTTAGTTTTATTTCCCTGATTAGGGAACAGAATTTGCAGTAAAAAATGTCTAAGAGCTGTTGTAAATTCTCTCTCTTCACAATAAAAAACTTAAATATATTTAGAAAATAGTTTTGAGATGGATTATTGGTGATTGGGTGTTGCCTCGATATGGTAGCTTTACCTGGACATAGGAATATGAAGACCTATCTAAAATGATTTAAGACCCACAACGCAATATTTCAGTGAATTTAAAACTTTATAAGGCCTAAAATTTAGTTTTTTTAAATTTACTGCCATTTTAAGACCCCGCAGATCCCTCAGAGATGTTATTTAGAGTAACAACAGCTTGTATACAAAAATCTTGTCAAGCACGTTTACAACGAGAATCATTTGATGTTTGAAAAAGCCTTTTTTGCCATTGAATGCACAGCAATGGGATTAAATAGGTCAATGTTGTGCATAAGCAAAGAATTTGACAGTACAGTTTGTGTGGAAATAACCGTTTGTTTATTATTTACACATTAGCAAAAGAGTGCATGCTACAATTAGAGCAACATCTTCAACGCGAGTCTCTATTTCGTAAGACTGTGTGAACCCAAAAACGATCATCGCCCCATTTATGCGCCAAGCGACCAGCATTCCAGCAGAGGAATTCAGATGATCTTGGAGAGGATAAACCGCTTGGCTTTTTGCATAAGCTTAACTGATAGAGGTATTTGGTTTTGGCTTCCCTGCACTGTCAATTTATGTCTGGAACACAAGCAATTCTTTATGTTAAATGATCTGATCTGGAAAATTCATTTACAACCCCAAATGGAAGAGCTTTGGTAGACGGCGACGTCCATTCTCCTCTCTTTCAAGTGACTATTATTCACTGTGATTCTCATTCAACGCAATTTTACTTCAAAATGTCAGCAGAAAATAATTTGTGATAAGCATGCAGGGTGTTATAAACCACTGGGGATTTTTTTAAATACATTAAATCAAAGAACATTATTCAATGAAGCACATCCTTTGAAAACCTTGCATCAAATACTGTATGTTCAGAATGGCACACCACTTTATAGTTCTGTAATATAAGCAATCTCATGGAAATCCGTAAATTTTTGATTTGGCTAATTCGTATGAAATCATGATCTCATTCTTACAATTTAATATGATTTACTTATGCCGCAGTCATATCACACTGCAGCCCAAGACTGGTTACTCACTGAAGCTAAGCACGGCTGAGCCTGGTCAGTACCTTGATGGTAACCACATGGGAAAACTACAGTAGGTTACTGTTGGAAGTGGTGTTAGTAAGGCCAGCAGGAGGTGCTCAACCGGTAGTCTATGTGAGTCCTAATGCCCCACTAAAGCTAAGGAGACACTTTACTGTCAGTGAGTGCCGTCTTTCAGATGAGGCATTAAACCAAGTTCCTGACTCTCTGTGGTCATTAAAAATCCCATGGCACTTTTTGTAAAGAGTAGGGATGTAACTCTGGCCAAATTTCCTCCATCAGCCCTTTCCGATCATGGCCTCCCAATCATCCCCATTGGCTCTATCGCAGTCTCTCCACTCCATCTACAGCTGGTGTGAGGTGAGCGCACTGGCGCAGTTGTTCTGTGGCTGTCGTGATGATGGTGTGGAGAGAGACCCCCTCCTTACTGATTATGCCCATTTACCATAAATGCTCTATATAAATACACATTATTTACTTAGTGTTCATACACAGTTTTACTATTAAAATTCCATGACTTTTCCATGACTTTCAAGTAAATTTTCATGACCTAATGTTTCATGCAATGTCTACATATGCGTGGTAAAAGAAAAAAACAATGCATGTTTAAATTTATTACAGCAAATCATAAACACGCAACCATCTATTTAGTTTCAATTAGTATTTATATCTATGTAAAATTGATTAAGATAATGCTTACACTGCACTAATGTAGTGAGAGTATGTGATTGGCCATGAACAGAATAGAAGTCAAGACAACTAACCTATATTTAAGAATACAGATATTTGTTTTCCATGACTTTTCCAAAACTTGGAAAAAAAAAAATTTTTCCAGACCTGGAAGATGCCATGTCAAAATTCCATGACCCTGAACTTACGTGTCCTCCAATGAAAGTTTGTGTTTAGGGGTGAGGTTTGGAGCTATGCCTCCAAACAATCATACACTATCATACAAATGAACGCATATGAATGACCCACTAAACTGACAAAACGTAAAATAGTTTTGTTTCCTCGTGAGATCAAGCTGGTAAATCACATACTGAGCACTGTATTAACACTTTTACATAGAGTACACTTGAAAATAACAAAAAGTGCACGTTGCATTATATATTATGATTTCATTTGTGGCCAGTGACCACTAAATCGTCTTATATGATCGTGCTGTTTACTTAAATACCAGTGAACACATTTGAGTTCAATTTTATGTTTGAAAAGCAACAAATGAACCCCACCTACTACATTAAAGATGAGCTGAGCTTAGAAGACAATAACAAAGGTAGTCTTTGAATTTTGCAATAAAGCAGGACTTACTATGGAACATTGATTCCTTTAGATTAAAAAAAGAAATACGGTTTTATGTAAGAATTGATATCGGAGTAATAATACAGAGTATTTTAAACTAACATCACACACTTCTGATTTTCCTCTTCTCAGAACTGCTACTTCAATTTTTTATTAAGGCAATATTATACAGGTGAAGTATATATGTTTATTTATATTTATATATATATATATATTTATTCTAAGTGATGTTTAATAGAGAAAGGAATTATTTGTTTCCCATTACATTTGCCTTCTGGATAAAGTATTAATTCTTTAAGTTTTGCTGGAATAAACATTTTTAAAAGATAGAAACTGCTGAAGTCAATATTATTAGACCCCTTTATAGTTTTATTTCCAGTTGGCTACAAAACAAACCACTGTTGTATAATGACTTGCTTAATTAATCGAACGTAATCGAATTAATCTGACCTAATTAATCTAACCCGATTAACCCAATTAAAGCCTCATCCACACTATGAGCAACTCGCAGTGGCAAAGTGACAAGCGATCATTGGTTTTAATGGAATGTGAGCGACTTCCAGTGTTGTGCCAGGAGGCGCACCCATGCTGTGAAAATGTACACTCTCTAAAATGTGCATCTATTAACTGTAATTGATAAAAAATAAAAAAATAAAAAAACTAATTAGAGTGACTGAGGTGTGTTTTATGAATGGAACCCTTCCCTTAAAGAAGATATATAAATTAATTAATAAATAGCTTGACTTTATATACAATACGGATGAGATTAAATTGTTTAATGTGTGGTTTAGTTTAAAACAGCATACAACAATTTTATGATCCATGTAGCCTAAATGTCAGTTTAAAAGCACCCAAAAAGCCTAATTTTAGACTACACTACAGCTAATATTATTATTTTACATTTATTTGTAAACCTAGCACGTTTTAAAATGCGTTTTTACTACTTGTCCTTGCTTTATCCAAAAAGATTCAAAAACTGTTATTCAAAATAAATTTTTTTTTTTTACGTTTTAATCAATTATGGCTTTTTATTTATTTTTAAAAAATTTAGACTGAAAATTCTAATGAAAGTCTATGAGAAGGTGCATTTCTTAGCACAACACTGGCAAACTCGCAAACTGGCGACCAGGTGGGCATGTTGAGCGATGCAACAAAGTTGAGAATCCTTGAACTTTATGCAAATGAAGAGTGACTTTCTTGAGCGACAGCCAATAGGAGCACAAGCAGAGCTCCCGTAATCTTCTCTCAGATCCTGCAGAGGCCAGTTGTAGTCTCTGTGCTGTATACCTACACAGACCTGCGTTTGCAGCAAATCACCACCCAGAGCGACAGGCAGCTACAAAGCTGCGGCTAGTGTGAATGAGGCATGCACTATAAGTCAAATACTAGTGTCTTGTAAAATAGTATGTACTTCATCTCAAGGACAAAATAAATTAGTTATTAAAAATAAATTTATTAAACTATTATGTCTAAAAATGTGTTGAAAAAAATCAACAGCAGTTGTGGAATAACAGAAGAAGAATTAAACTTTTCGAGAAGCGCAAATATTTTTCTTCAACTGTATAAATTTGTATTAATTTCATGCAAAATATGAGATTTTAAGCTTGGAATTTTGACTTCATGTTAAACGTGTTGTGAATTTATAACTCAAAAAACTGTGGGAGATTTCTCAATTGCATCACACTTAGTACTGGACTAAAAATTGTGCAATTTTCTTTATATGTCAAAAACAAGTTTCCACAACAAAGAGTATGCAGCATACAACAACATAGTCTGCCATTCTGAACATAACCAGCCTCCTGACAACTTATAGGAGGCACCTAAATGAGATATAAACAACTCAGATTATAGGCAGGCTGGAGGAGACACCATATTGAAAGAGACAACATTAGACATCACATTTGGCCAAGTTTGTAATATGAAACATTTCGTTTGGTTCGATATTTAACAGAACAGCATATGGTGTGCAAAATGGAGTCTAGAGGCCTGCATTTATGGCAGCTTGATCGTCCGACGATATCAGCTTAAGTTGAGGCTTGGCTAAAGTGCTTGTGGCGTTTGTGAAATGCAAGAGTTTACATTACAGAGGACGATGCCTGAGGAAACAGACTCCAATGTGGCGTCTGCCCTGAAATATCTGATAAAACACCCATGACCCGAAGTAAAATATGACATTTATACCGGAAGAACTAAAAGGATGCGCATTGATAGACCCACATGAAGTCACTGGATCAGTGTGTTCTTTTCAGGTTTGTCTTTCTCTCTCTGATGTGGAGTAGAAATTGCATTTTCATGATGACCATTTAAAATATCCAACCAGAGACCATACAACTCACCTCAGATGATGTTGCACTTCGCGATTACTTCATGCTAATTGCTGCCGAGCACATTCCCCTCAACCACTGATTTTCAGACAGAAATAATAACAAAAAATGGCACTTGACAGGATATGACATTCTCATTCAGAACACTTTGCAATAAGGTTTCATTTGTTAAAATGAGTTGACTTAATTGGTGATCCTCATAAATAAAAATGCTTATATAGCACTCAATAAGTTTAGCTAAAGCTCTTTCCCACATATTAGATGTAGTTTTATTTCTATATTTTAGTTTTATTAAAGTTGCATTTTTTTGTGAACAAAATCGTACATTTACAAAAGACCTCCACTAAAATGTCATTCAGATTACTTAAAAAACAAATCTTGTCAGGCATATTTCGAAAAAGTGCAGCCCTAAAATAATAACTGATAATCAGAAGGAGTTTGACCCATTTGTAAATTCATTATGATGTGGATGCCGAAAATGGGACAACTTGACTTATACATCAACTTAAACTTACATTAAAAAATAACCTACATTAAACTTAACCTTATACTTTACCAACCATTTATCAGATGAGAAACCATATTTCTAGATAACTTCATTGACATTGATTACAAATTTTTCTTTTTTTTTTACAAATTTTTTTAAGTTATGAAATGTTAAGAGTCTTGTAATAGCCTCCAATTACACTCCAGATGTTTTTCCAGTGAGTATTTCATTAGCTATGTTTCCATTGACCTATTTTTATGCACATTTTGAAAAATTGCAAATGAAATGCTTAATGAAAATGAAAAGATGCACATCCATTTCTAAAACGCACATGTAAAAACATATGCACAAAAGTGAAGAGGACAAACTTTTTATCTGAAAACAAAAAAGTGCATGCTAACACATTCACTGGATAAATTCCAGCATGCAGATCTGTTATGTGGCATTCACACTGGATACACCTTACACAATTAAATTGTGCTATCCGCATACAATTAGACCCTTAAACATTGCTTCATTTGCGCGTGAAATTTGCTTCACAACAGATGTAAAATCACACCAGTTTTGTTGCAACATGGGTGACATGGATTTTGTTGAGAAGGTAGCTGCTTTATGTGGTATGATTGGCTGAAAAATGGCATGGACCGATTAGGCGGTCCATCAAATCCTTCAGAGTGCCTGGATGACAGCCACTACCACAGCAAACTTGGTTAATGTGGCGCAAAAGTTCAAGTTTTAAAATTTGAGAGATTTACGTGAATCAAGCATCTCATGCATCAAATTTCCAAAACACTCCAGCTATATAGTGTCATTTGCACTACCTCATGGTCATTTGCACTACAACTGTATCGCAGGATGTTTCAGGTCTTTGCAAAGACTTAACATGTACAGTTAATGTCAGATGTTTTTTTTCTGTTTCAAATATTTCCCAAAAGATGCTTAACAGAGCAAAACATTTTCACAGTATTTCCTATAATATGTTTTCTTCTTATTTGTTTTATTTCGGCAAGAATAAAAGCAGTTTTTAATTTTTAAAACCCTTCTAGGGTCAATATGATTAGGGCCTCTTAATCCTTATTTTCAAAAGTATTATGTTTAGAAATCTTCTCTCCAATAAACAAAAATTGGGGTACAAAAAATATACAGGGAGGCTAATAATTCAGGAGGGCTAATAATTCTGACTTCAACTGTAAATCACTCACACTTAACGCTTCATTCATGTCTGGTGTGAATGCACCATTATAACTACCGATCATTGCATTTCATCGTCTGAGGCACAAGTAATTTATTATACGTAAAAATGAAAAAAAAGGCCAACATTGGCTTCTGCTGCAGCAAATTACATTTTTCTTTTTGATATTTGGAGCTGGTTTCTTAGGAAGTGATGATTTAGTTTTCTTTTGAGATGAAATCTGTGCTTTATTACCAAATATTTAACATGATTGTCCAATCTTTAGATGGAAACATAGCTAACGATTTCACTATAAAAGATTCAAATGATTATAATAGACTTTGAACTTCAAATGAATACATTTGCTACAGTATTCTTCCTTGTTAACCCAACAAAGATCAATAAATACCATAACAAATGTGTTTCTCACTTTTAGCTAAGGCATGAACTATTATCAACCAATGAAACCTTATTGTGAAGTGTTACTGAAAAACCAGAACACGTTTTCCCCACCTTCACATCATTTGTGAGGAAGTGCTTACGAAAAACTGTTTTAAACATTAATATAATGATATTAATAATAGTCATTAATACCCTCATACCATATATAGAACTTTCCCCAGCCATCTATTAATAATCATGATTGATTTCTGCTAAATAAATGTTCGTATAGCAGCCAATATATCAATTTACAAATGTACACGTATGTTAAAAATATATATATATAATTCAATATTTTCTATGCATTTTTAATAAACATAACGTTTTCTTCGTACAGTATTTATCAACAGCTCAATATATTGTGATGCCCAATATGGAACATTTTCCCTGCATGTGCTTTTCACAGTAAACCGTTTGAAGCTGAGGCGAACGCTGTCGATATGTTCAACCGTGAATCATGCACTGGAGTGAACGTGTTAGGCGTGTTAAGCTTGCATTTGGAAGTGCTTTCAGACGTAAAAATGGAAAGAAAGGAAACAGAAATCTCAGCATAATCTTCATGGTCTTTTTTTTTTTTCGAGCGTCTGTTGCTCACAGCGGGACTGGAGATGTGCAATTGTTGCTTTGTTATCCGCTAAGAGGATGCAGGTCCACCTTCACCTTTTCTCCACTGCTGAGCATCCCGATAGAGGGGTAAAAGCCTCCGACCGGAACCACCACCTCCCTCCTGCCGATGATCTTGCCGTTTCGGGTGAAGAACACCTAGATGGGCACAAAGGGGCGACAGCGAGTTGGCATTTTTCACAGCTGGAGAATACAGAGAGAGAGTGAGTCAGCATTTCCACAGCTACAGGGCTGGGAAATTCACTCAATTCCTAAAACTCTGAATACATGATGAGCACAAGAAAACAGTTTGCAAACATCTGCTTTTTGATCACAGAGTGTGTGTTTCATGTGTTTTTATTCCACATCAGTTATTCCAGATCTGCAATCTTCTCATGCAGAATTCTGTAGATTTTGACAGATATTTAAAGCCATCGTTATGCCAATCTATTAATTTACCTTTGTAAATGTAGGTTTTTATATTCATTTCAGTGATATTATTGAATGATTGGCAAATTTTTATATGGTTTATGTACAAATACAGTTTATAAAGTAACATTTTCTGTCTTTTAGTAAATATATGGTCCCACTTTATATCAAGTGGCCTTAACTACTATGTACTTGCATCAAAAAATGAATACAATGTCTTCATAATGTATTGCAGAACACTTCTTGTGCTTTTAAGGTGGGATATGGGTTAGGGTTTGTGACAGGTTTGGTGGTACGAGTAGATTAGGTGGGTTAAGGTGTAAGGCCAAGGTACTCAACAGGCAGCTGATGGGCCACATTGGGTCTGTTAAGCTGTGGCCCGCAGCTGCGCAGACTGATCGGCTCTCATATTGCGGCATATAATGAAGCTCTAGGGCTGCAACAGTACATGTATTCATGCTGAACCATCACTGTACGATGGTCATGGTTTGGTTCACGTGCCCTCACAACGAATACAGAATACGTTCACATAGAATGCAGTGGTTCCACTATTTTCCCACTGCATGGACGGACAGACACTGTGCTGCATTTTCAATGATTTCAGTTTTGAGCTTACGAAATCTTAAATTTAATACATAATTATTGTTTTTCTGTTGTTTTAGGAGAGAGCTGAGATAAATTTTTGAACTATAAATTCCTAATTATTTTCCTGATTATAAAGTTTTATTTTTAATTATTGGGTTTAATTTGTATTTTTGCATCACAAGAAGCTCTTCAGCTCTGAAGCTGAATGTGACAAAACACTTCTGTCTGTTAAATAAATCGAAAGGGCAAGTACAGGAAATGTTTTATTATTATTTTTCTTTATATACCAGTACCAAATCATAACGCAAAAACGGAGGTACAAATCGTGACTCCAGTGTTTAAGTGGCCCCTGTATCTCGCGTTGGTCCACACAAAATCTGTGCCTGCAGAATTCCGCAGATTTTAAGCCCATCATTAATTCTGTTAATTTACTTGAGTGAATGTGTGTAATATCTATATTTATTCAGTTTTTAAATGAATTACAGTAATATTATTGACTTATGTGGAAATGTTTATCTGATTTATGTAAAGTACAAAGCAGTTTGTAAAGTATTATTTTCTTTTAGTCTTTTAGTAGATATCTTCTATGAGAGACTTGCTTTGTTTACCAAATAAAGTGAATCTAACTGGATTTGCATTTTAAACATTAAATAAAAGTTAAAAAGACCTCATTTTTTATTTCACATATTAAGGTTTTAGTTATGATACTCATAAAAAAATTCCGCAGATTTTTACCAAAATTCTCTGCAGAAATAGCAGAAAATGTCCGCAGATTCCGTCTGGCCCTACTCATGTGGTTGATATTTAGCCCTCAAGGCCACCGAAGTTGAGAACCTCTGGGATGGATCAACAGTGTAACTACAGACGTAATTAGATGCAGGCATTTAATCAAGCATAAGTATAATGCAAAAACATGTATTTTACACAATAAGTACATTGTTAGTACATATTAGTTAAGGCCACATAATATAAAGAGTGACGAATAAAGGTAATACGTTTTATAATATGTTTTTAGTTAAAATACTCTCAAAACCATTCTGATTAAATCTGCAGATTTTGTACAAAATCCTAGGCGGAAATAGCAAAAAATTGCCAAACGATTCTGTCTGGCCCTACCCACAAGTCTTTCCAGGTACTATGTGACATAGACTGCTAATCAAAAGTTTGTGATTGGGAATATTTGTTTAATGTTTTACAGCAAATGCTTACAGAGATCAAGCCTGCATTTATTTGATCAAAAATACAGAAAAAATATACAAGAAATACAATATAAAAAGAAACAAGTATTACAATTTAAAATAACAATTTTCTTATTTAACGTAGTTTCAATTTATTCCTATTCATTTTCAGCATCATTGCTACAGTCTTTGGCATCACACGATCCTTCACAATTTATTATAATATACTGATTTGCTGTTCTATTAAGATCAGTAATTATGATCTTTTTTCTTGCTTCTTTTTTCTTATTTTTTAGTATAAATATTATTATAATGTGTTAATTTTTTATTATTAAAATAAATACATTTCAGTGGTACTTTTGAATAGTTTTCTAAAAATTATACATTTATAATTAAAGATAAAATGTTTCAAATTAATGCCATTTTCTTTCTTAATTGAATACCACATTAACATTAAAATGATTTCTGATTAATACAGTTATGCTAAAATAATGAAGAAAAAAGAAAGGAAAAAAAAAACAACTCACCATAACCTTCCGGCCCTCGTGTTCTTGTTCTGGATCTTCGCCCTCTTCCTCATCTTCATCGTTCAAATATAACAGGTTTTCGACTCTGCCTTGCTTTGGTCGTACATCAGCAGCATCCCAGTCTTCAATTTCATCTGACGGTGAAAACCAAAAGACCTTACAGAACTTAAAATCTTAAAAACCTGGATTACAGTCCTGACAAGAAGGCTAAGCTGATCAAAGTGTGTATTTGTTTTCTAAGCATGTATTAGCTCATGTGCAAAATGGGAAATCTCTTCTCGTGTAAGATTATTAGCCCTCCTGTGAATTTATTTATTCTTTTTCAAATATTTCCCAATTGATGTTTAACAGATCAAGGAATCTTTCACAGTATTTGCTATTATATTTTTTCTTCTGGAAAAAGTCTTATTTGTTTTATTTCGGCTAGAATAAAATTAGCTTTTAATTTTTTCTAAAATATTCAATATTTTTAGCCCCCTTAAGCAATATTTTTTCAATTGTCTACTGAACAGACAACTGTTATACAATGACTTGCCTAGTTAACCTAGTTCAGTTCTTAACCTCGTTCTTTAAATGTCACTTTTAGCTGAATACTAGTATCTTGAAAAATTTCTAGTCAAATATTATTTACTGTAATCATGGGAAAGATAAAACAAATAATTAGAAATGAGTTACTAAAGTCATTAGAAATGAGTTATTGAAACTATTAAGTTTAGATATGTGCTGAAACTAAATCTGTTAAACAGAAATTGAGGGGAAAATTATACAGGGTGGCTAATAATTCAGGAGGGCTGACAATTCTGACTTCAACTGTATATGCATTCTCACCTTCATAGTCAAGTGCATAGTCCCGAGGAAACATGATTCCACAGCCCATGATGTCCCCTTCGAAACAGCGAGGGCCAAACTGATCTCCTACTCCACTTCCATTGAAGATCTTCCCATCATCTATGGAGCAATTGAAAAGGTTAAACCAATCATTAGTAAACCAAGAAATATTTAAGTAAATATTGATGTATATATCCTGAAATATTAAACAAATAGTTTGCCCAAAAATGAAGGAGGAGAAACTTAATGAATGTAGATGTAGGTGACTTTAAGTTGATCGTTAAAGTTTATTTTCAGTTGAAATTGTGGTTCTTGACGACTCAAAGCAATTGGATATTGGCACTTTAAAGACTGTGTGAACTGGAAGTTGCTGAGACTTATTTCTGTTCATGTACTGATCAACTGAAATGGAGTATTGAGCAGGGGATGGGGCTTTCTTATTGCCATCATTCCCTAATAGCAAACTAACTGTAAATGGGGCATGATTAAGATTATTTTGGCTGAAGCCTTCAAACTGAAATCAGAGAAGAACCGCTTTCACCAATGAATACTTTCTGCAAGAATACACCGAGTGATCAATTGACAGGGAAGTGTTTGATAATAATTACAAAAGAATAAAAAAAAAATCAACATGAAAATGACTGGGTTTCCACAAATTCCCTGATTTTTCCTGACTATAAAGCATAATTTACATGATCTATTCAACTTACTTTTTTTTACTTAAGAGTGGCATGGCCATGACCAAATGTGTCAAGAATTCTTGTTTAGTTCAATTCCATATATTTTTCCATTCGTTTTTCTGGAAACTGACATAAATTACTTTGATCAACATTATGTCTTTTTTAACATTATAAATATTATTTGAATGTGTCCTTTTTCAAATAAAAGTAGATGCATTTGAATGGTTATCTATCACAGCTTCCACAAAACTATGACGCAAGAAAAAAAAAATCAGCACTGATAATTATAGTAATCATAACCCTTTTAAATTGCCAGTGGGAGGCATTCATCTTGTGTGATCTTTAAACAGCTGACCTGATTATTCAAATCAGGTGTACAAGACATAGGGAACAAAAAAAAACAAAAGAAATTTAGTTTAGTTGTCAAAATTAAAGCTTTGAATTCTTCAGTAATTCCAGTAACACCTATTTTACTGCTTTTTCAAGATTTAAGATAGGTCTTTTGTGTTTCTAGAATGTGTCTGTGAAGTTTCAGCTTAAAACACCCATCAGATTATTTGTTATACCTTTCAGCATATTGGAATTTTCTGCTCTAAACACAATGTAGCTGTTAATATGCGGCTGTCAATCAATTCGGTTGGTGGGGAAACTGCACTCCTATGTCATGTTGGGGTCAACCTCAAAATGGGATGGATTTGAATCCTATTTTAACACTAGGAAATGTGTTTAAAAAAAGAGACTTATTTATTGATATAAAAAGTATTTTGTGACACCCACATCCATCATTAAAATGCAGGTTTATGTTTTAAATAATAACTCAGAATTGATGCATTAATTTTAAAAACAATTTTTAATCAATAAAAACTATTTAACGTCTATGCAATTAATCCAATACTATATGTAAAAACTAAACTATTATATACTAACTTTTGTGAAACGGCAAATCAACCAACTATGTTTGTAAAGACGGAAATTGCAACCTTAGTTGGCTAACGATGGTTTTGGGTAACGCATCCCAGGTTGTGAATTACATTTTTCCACACTATAGGCTAGCCTATGCCGAGCAACAGGTAACAAAATTGCTTTTGACCTAGATATCCAGTCAAATCACCATGCATCCTGGTATTATGGATATATTAGCTAATTATTATTATTATTATATATTAGTGGACATAATGCACTTTTGTAAACAAGTAGATTTTTTTTCTGCATGCGTGTGAAAGAAAAATGAACAGAAAAAAAATGAACAGACAATAAATAATTTGCGGCTCACTTTGCGTGCGGATATGCCCATGTATTTAATTGTATTAAAAGTTGGTCAAATATTTGTAATATAGCCTGTAATAAATAATAAATAGCCAACTGATAAAGTAAGTTCAGGTGATCACAAGTTCACAATCAGGTGATGTGCTCCACTGGCACGATAATCTTAATATTGTTATGTAGTGTGTGCTGCGCGGCGGTTTTCATATGTGCACGTTTAAGATTTGCGGTTATAACAATCACCATGATGGTCAAAGAAATCGAAATTCTTTTCACCCCAACGCAATTTAATAGGGCACTATTAAGGCTAAAGAATTTAATTCTTATATTTGCGTTTTGCAGCCTATAGGGCTATACTTCTCACAATGTATCTTTTCTAAAACATACAGTATAGTGTAATAGCATGTTTATTACTAAGAAAACTAAAACTAAATTATATTTTATTGAACACATCACATCACACAAGGTACACATACAGAACCGTCTATTTAGTATTGTGAAAGGCAAAGCTGAAAACTTGTGATTAAAGTGCCCCCCAGTGGTCAAAGGCTGCTGGCGCATCAACTACCGCTGCGGCATGAATGGCGGCAAAGGGAACAAGTTGAAGTAGTGACATCTGTATATCACCCCAGTATGACAGTGGACGCACAATACCAACACACAGTTCTGTCCAAACAGTTAACAAAAGCTGATTTTTATCATAGGTGCTCTTTAAGAGTGGCATGGCCATTGTAAATTAAAAATTCTCATCAAATTCAATTCCATTCATTTTTTTAGAAATTCAAAACAACTGATGCTGCTTGATGTGCAAAATCAAAATGTTTTAATATATTTAATTATCAGCTGACAAATGAGAAAGGAATAAAATAGCAAAGAACAAAAATAGACTAGCCATAACAATAGAAGAAACATGAAAACAACTGGTTTTTGATAAACTGAAAGAAAAAATTCTAAATGACAAACAAAAAACACATAATATTATATGACTTTCCGCACATTCATTGTCTGGAATATAACTTTTAAAATGATATGGCCAATATAAAACTTGAAATAAAGAAATACTTACAAAATTAACATTTCTGTCATTATTTACTAACTCTTCACTAGTCCCAAACCTGTTTGCCTGACTTTCTTCTATTGAAAACAAAAGAAAGGTATTAAAAGTAAACTTCTGACTTCTATAGTATTTGTTTTTCCTTCTATGCAAGTCAAAGGTTTACAGATTCCAGCTTTCTTCAAAATATATTCATTTTAGTTTCAGCAGATGATTTGGAGCCAACCGAGGGCCAAAAGCTTTTTTAATCTTGCATTCTTCCTTTTGTACCATTAACCCCTCAAATCATCACGATGCTCATAGATGGAGGTGCTCTGTTCAATGAAGAGTTTCCACTACCAGCAACGTCATCTGCTGGTGTCGCTGTTGGACAGCATCACTGTAGGTAAAAGGAGCCCTTTACCCAGTGTCTGATCACATATTTCAAAATATTTATTCAAGTATTTTTTGCCTGACCAATGCATAGTAAAAGACAAAGGTCATAAACACATTTACTGGATTAATTTTACACCCAAAAGAAGCAATCCCACAGCAAGCGCAAAGCATCACCGAGACCTGAGGTGAACCTAAATGCTGCATTCCTAACACATTCGCTCTTAATGATCCAAAGAAGTCTTATACTCTTCATCCAGCAACTGACAGGATGAAAGGAGATGTGCTTTCATGCCTCTGTACGTTTCTTTCTCCCAAGTCTAAGTTCTTCTTACATAAGAAGATAAGAGACAACAACAATCAAGAGCAAGTGAAAGAAAAACACGGAAAGGTAGCCTGCAGACAAAAAACCCTACTGCAGTGTGTGGCTGGTAAATATTTGGAGTTGTCATGGGACCCATTCCCAGCTCAGGATACCGTTTAAACAATCCCTATCTGAACACGCGGAGGGAGATGAAGACACTGTATCATTATGATTCCCGTGTGGGCCTCCGTCCCAATGGCACACTCTGCAAACACAGGCTAAAAATAAACGAGGGGTTCGAGCGAACGCGTTCCCCCTGATCCTGCTGGAGCGCTTTCTGGCATCCGAGCTGAGGGGAAACGGTACACCGGAGTGCAGAGAGGGCTTTCCTCGAATGTCAAGAGCTGTTCTCTGGAAAAGACCCGGGAACGGAGGCTCACTTCCGCAAACAAGGAACAAACTATTTGTGTCGTCAACATTTTGGAGCAACCTAAACCACTGCATTACCAAACATTAATCACACAAGGCTGAAAATAGAGGCTTGGGGTAAGCAAGGGTTGCCAAACATTTCGACCCACTTGGCATGGTCAGCGGATGGATACAAACAGAGATTGTATATGGCAGATGATCAGTTTCCTAAAAATGTAGAGCTAAGTGATAATAGAAGAAAAATTGTGATTGGATCGAATTTTATTTGTCTGCCATACGCAGTAGTCAACATATGAAATGGATCAATAAAGGTTTTCAAAATTGTTTAAGGATGGGTGTTGTTTGATAGTTATAAGACAACCCTGATGATAGTTTCGATCCACTTCAAATGTTGACTACTGTATAGACTGATTATGAAAAGATACAGGAAGTTTATCTCTTTTTGGAAGACCAAGGCTGTATTTGAAATCGCCTACTACTCACTATGAATTTAAATTTGAATTTATTATTCGAACATTAGAAAAGTATGTTCTATACACTATGACTATACACTTCAGAATCTTAACGGAGGTAATAGGCCATCTAGGTCATCTCGCATAATGTTTTTCGAATGATATGAATTCAGACATACTTCTCGGCTCGCATACTGTTTTTAGCGTACTATATAGTATGGAAGTATGCATTTATAGTGAGCGGTCTTACTTTGTTCAATCTTTGTTGAACATGTAGCAAATCAAAAACATTTGTCGGCCCCAGTGGGGTAGAGGTTAGTATGTCGACACATGCACTCAGGTGCTCACGGCGACCCAAAATTCCCACCTCGCGGTCCTATGCCAATACTTCCCCTCGCCTACTCCCCATGCTGTCCTGTTGATACTTGATACTGGCCTATCCATTAAAGGTAAAAACCCTGAAAAAATATTTACTAAAAAAAAAAAAAAAAATTCTGTAACAACAAAATAGAAAAAATAAAAAAATTTAAAAAATTATATATATATATATATATATAATTACACTT